CAAGGCAGTTGTATTTTCATCTTCTTTTTACATGCAAATCTTTAGTTTTAGTAACATTTGAGTACTTACATTTCTTCTGATTAAAAACTCCATTGACTGAAATACTAAAACACTGGGAGCAGCCCCCCCACCCCAGGACCTGTGTGTGTGCCTCCTTTTAAAAGGTGAGAGTGATACCTATCTGAATTTCTCAGGTTACCTCAGTCACAAAAGCCGCGGATGCGATCAGGACACTTGGAAGTTTAACCTTTGCTAAGGCAGGGTGGGAAGAAAGCATGCACCGAAACCCAGAAGTTTTCAGGCAAAAGGACATGTCAGTTGTGGTCACCTCCCTGGAGTCACGGGGCGCTCCACCTCAGGGGCCTTCACCCACTCCAGCAGCTGCACTGCAGCATACAGTGTAAACTCACAGTTAAATGGTCTGAAGTATTAAGGCATATAAAGGTTGAAGCTCTCATTTAAGCTTACTGGAGACCAAATCTGGCTTCAAAACCCACTGCAGAACCGTGCCAACGCATTGGCACCAGCCTCCCTTTGGGCTCATCCCAAGCACCCACACAGCACAACTGAAAGGAACGCGTGGATCGCTGTGACGGTGCTTCCACACAGGAGAAAAAAAATCTCCCGCTGCCAAAGAAGTGCAGACAGGAAAAAAAAAATCTGATTGTGCTTTCTGGAAATACTGTAGTAATTGGGACCTCACCTAAGCGTAACCTCTGGAGGAAATAATTTTGTCCCTCCACCAGTGGAATCCTCACTGGAGAAGCGAGTCTCTGACGTTGCAGAGGATCAAGCTGCAGGCCTGCATGGGGGCTAAATACTTCCCTGACTGAAACAGAAAACCAAGCGAATCAGAAGGGTAAAAATTTGAATAGAACAGAATAGCTCAGTTGGAAAGGGCCTACAGCGGTCATCTAGTCCACCTGCCCGACCACTGCAGGCTGACCAAAAGCTGAAGCATGTTATTAAGGGTGTTGTCCAAACGCCTCTTAAACACTGACAGGATCGGGGCATCGGCCACCTTGCTAGAAAGCCAGTTCCAGTGTCTGACCACCCTCTCAGTACTCCTAATGTTGCGCCTGGAACAGCTTTGAACCAGCCCTGTGCATCCTGTCACTGGATCCCGGGGAGAAGAGCTCAGCACCTCCTTCTCTACTCCCCCTCCTCAGGAAGCTGTGGAGAGCAATGAGGTCGCCCATCAGCCTCCTCCTCTCCAAACTGGACAAGCTCAAAGTCCTCAGCCGCTCCTTATAGGAGCTGCCTTCCCGCCCTTCCACTAGCTTTGTTGCCCTCCCCTGGATGTGTTCAAGGACCTTCATCTTCTTCAACTGTGGGGCCCGGAGCTGCACACAGTGCTCAAGGTCAGGCCGCACTAACACTGGATTTGGGAATCCCAGCATCCGTGTCCCAGGCACCGTATCCTGCCCCTTGGAACTCGCCTGTGTTGCAAGGCCAGCTTCTCTTGTAACATCTCTCATGGTGCTCCTAATTTTAGTCTTGTCTCTACACAGCAAGGGGAGGGGGCGGAGGGAAAGGTGCTATCCCTTGCCAAACCACCCCCTTCTCAGCATGGACTCAGGTCAGGCCCAGTACTTGTCTCTCACTGCCTCTCCACCACTCCACACGCAGAAAAGATCAGTTCTCCTGCACTTCCCTAGGAAGGAATTGGAGGAAGCAACGGAAGGACATCACCTGAGGCAACGCTGCAGTGAAGGGAGTTGCCTCACAGTAGCTGTTCTGTATCCAGAGAGCAGCGGGTGCTCAGTTCATGAGTTGACTCTGTTAGAAAATTTTGGCCTAGCAGTGGGGCACAGATCATAGTAATGAATAGCTCTGTGGTTCCTTATAATAATGAGATGATTCCGATACCTTAACTCTAATCCTTTGATGCAAATTATGCTCAGCTCTGCATTTCACCTAGGTACAATGACATGGGCGAGAGAAAAAAAAAACACGTGGAGCAAATTGGTGTCCAATTCCTAAGGGCACAATTTTTAAAAATGGTTTCTTGGATGAAAATCGTAAAGATCTAAAAATGTTTAATGCACAGTTTGCTTTAATTAGGGTCTAATGCAACCATGAGGTATATAGGGAAACCGTTGTGCAGAGCTGATTCCATGCCCCATCGCATGACCCTAAGCACATTCAAATCTGAGCTGTACTACAGAAAGGCTTCGTACACCCGTGCCCGCACAGCTAAATTTGAGGCCAGTGCTGTATTTGGGTAGAAAAAAGAGATGACTTCATCACCGACATGTAGTCTGCACAGACAGACACAAAGAATCATTTTAAATAGCTTTCCTTTATCAAAATGCAGACCTGATGGGACATACAGCTAGGCTAAGTTGCATAAAGTACGGTCTCTACAAGTACGGAGGAGAAATGTAGTCATCATCCAATATTCATATAAGACAAACCATGATTACAATGCTCTCTACTTATAAGATACTCGGTATCTTCTGCTGCATTTACTTTTTGATCAACATTTCTTAATTGGGGAAATGAATACAAGAGTGTAGCCAAAGATACTGTGTGCAATTAATTTAATAGCATTGTAGAACAGCAAATCCACTCCTTTAGAACATAATTAGTAAGTATGTTTCTTGAACCAAGCAGAAACCTATGGGTTTCCATAAAAGTAAATCTTCCACAGCAGCAAGTTTAAAAGTAGAATACATTACATCTTTAATATCGTTGTCATTAAAGGTCTGTTTCAGTAAAAAAAAAAAACAAAACAGAATCTAGTATTGTGGTCATAAAATAAAAAGTATTTCTTTAAAAACTTTATAGCAAACATTCCCTGAGAATTAAGAATCAGCAACAACTATCGCCAGATTGGTTTTTCTGTCACACTGCAGAAATGTTACAGCACATTCTCTCCATTCAAAGATCACGCAGGAAGATTAAAGGCCACAGTTTTTATTTGATATGAGCATCTTCTGGGTATGCAGCAGCCCTCAGCACTGTGGCTAACCAGAACAGGAGGGGAGAGAAGGCAGTTAAGAAAAGGTTTAATCCATGTGTTGAGTGTGCGTGTTCAGAATTCTTCCCCCCCCACCCCCACATGCTATGTTTTTCCAGTTGTGCCCTTCCAACTGCCAGGCTATGGCAGCATCCTGGAATATCCCTCCCTCTCCCTCCCTGCAGAAGCACGCATATAAAATACATACCCACCACCAAAATGTTCCACTCACTCAAGACAAGTAATTTGTAGTCTAAGCAGAAAAGGGAGATAAAGCAGAAGAACGGAGTAACTATTAAGGTTGAAATAATCAATTTTAATGCCTAAAATTAGATTTTATGGCACATGGTATTGCTGAAAGCTGTATGCAGCACAGCTTTATCGTTGCATCAATCATCAGCACACAGAATTGAAGTGCAGTAAACATTTGGAATTTGGTGCCACAAAAAAAGAAGAAAAATCTACTTTTTGTTATTAATTCAGCTTGAGAAGATGGCATTCTGGGGTCAGTTTGCACTGACCCAGAAAAATGTAAGATTCTATCAGAATCCAAATTGACGTGTTGTAGAAGAGGGTTTCTTTCTGTCTTGCCCTAACACCAAATCAACATATGCATATCTCCCCGTGGCTACCTGCAAGTTGCCTGGCTCTTTCTCCATGACAGGACATCATTCTTTACTTGCAGCTTGCAAGTCTTAGCTCTGCTGAATTCTTTCTTTCGTTTCTTCAAAGCATCCAGCAGATGTCTGCTGCTGCTTGATACATGAGTGATGCAACCCAGAAGCGTACAGCATTCATTAAGAGGAGACTATGAAAACTCAACCAGAGATCTGCAAAGACCTGAACTGCAAAGTCTTTTGGCGGTAAAGACTGATGATATGGGGTAAGAGCAGAAGGGAGACGGCTTTAAGAAGGTAAAAAAACCCATGAAAATAGGCTACCAGGAAACCAGGAGAGAAGTCTGACATATACCAATGAGAACTGCAGGAGTATTCAAAGGAGACTGGAAAAGCATAAAAACTGAACGTCTCTACCTGCCCCAGGAAAACTCAGATGAAAACACCAGCATGTGGGCTGAGGAGTCAAAGTGGGCACGCAAAGTACTCAACATACCTATTATATGCTGGACATAACATTGTAAGTGTAGTAGCTTGGCCACACTGGATCTGCTATGCTGATGCCAGGCAGTTAATCTGCATGTATGTAGGTTCAACTGGTCTGGACATCAGCTCTCACTTTGGTCTGGCCATCAGAGGTACAGAACGCTGAATATATGGCCACAGTCCTCTTCTTCTCTTGGAAAAACTTTCTAAGTGAAAACAGAAGTCCCATAAAAGAGATGGTTGTCCTATCTCTAAATCTTGAGGACTGTGATCCAATTAGTGTTGTATATATTTCATTTTTTCCTAAGCATTTTCTCTACTATCAGAGTATCTTTCTGCGTGACTTGATCAACTGTTTTACTCAAGGAGATCTAAGGGAAAAAAAACATGGAAATAATCTTTACCATCTTTGTGAAGTGGCAATCAAAAAGGTCAAACAAATCAGCTGGCTATAAACTATGACATTTACTGTCTATCAAGAGCATTCATCATATTGCACAAGAAAATAATGCAATGTGAGTCACAGCAAAACATATGAATGCGTCTGAGTGATACAAACCTCAGGCTGATATTACAGTACTTTACAGTGAAAAGCCGCTTTTTTCTTTTCTTCTCTTTTCTCTTCTCTCTTTCCTTTCCTTTTCTCTTTCTTTTCCTTTTCTTTTCTACAGTGACATTACCTCAAAATACACTGCTAGTTAGTTTATTCTTTAGAAGGATCAACAAGATTCAGGCTTCTGCTCTCAACATTAGCCAGACAGATCACAAAATTGTGTTGGTGATTCTACTCTGAAGACACCAGCTCCTATCCGCTACGGCCACTCTTCAGCCATTCAGTAGCTGTTGAATGTTTTGCTGGCTCAAGCACCACCTGTATAGTGAACCAAGCCCTAAAATCTTCGCATGCTTAAGTCCACAATACCTTTCAAGCAGAGTTTTTCTTAAAAAGAGACACTAAGATTAGTGACACAGTTGACCCTTTAGCACAAGTCTGGTGGTGGGGATAGAGAGAAATATTCCTGGTGTGTCAGATCTTCTTCGCTCTCTCTCTAGACAGGAACTGCCAGACACGATGGAGTGTAGATCTTGACTAGTTCATCCCAAGCACAGTCCACCACCTACAAAGCAAACAAAATCTATTTAGATCCTTCACAAGTGTCATTTTTACAAAAAAAACCAGAAGGAACTTAAAATAAATTAATGCATGTTGTGGAGTTAATGTTGCTTGGTACTCTGATTCACAATGCTTAAAAATCATATAATAATGCAGCTGGGTTTGTTCTGCTTTTTAAAACTTTGTCTTAACTTTATGAGGTACACGAAAATTAACAATTTCCTAATAATGCAGCTGGGTTTGTTCTGCTTTTCAAAACTTTGTCTTAACTTTATGAGGTACATGAAAATTAACAATTTCCTATTTTTCATACTCCCCATGAGGAAAGCAGGGAAACAAACCTTTGAGTTTCACCTGATTGTTCCAAACAGGCTAAAGAAGAAAGTAACTGAGCATGAGGTGAAGGAAGGACACACAGAAGTCCAGACCTTGTGGTGTTTCTTCTCTTTACAGGGTCTCAGGACACTTTTATATCTGCACACTTCATGATCAAATCTGACCAACTTTTTGGGAAAACTATTATAGACATTTTGCTAATGGAGAGATGAGGAATTTTTTTGACAAAAATTATGTAGGAAGTTTCTTGAAGAATGAAGCCAGAACCTCAGTCTCACACTGATCAGCTACGAGATCACTGTAATGACTTTTGTTGAGAAGAGAGATGTCTACTTGCTAAGCATTGAGAATTGGGGATGGTGGGGTTCCTTCAAGCACTACCTAGACCCCACTAGTCTGATGCGAAGTGACGCCACTTGTGCCAATGGCATCTTGTAAACATAGTGACCGATTCCAACGTAACTGAAACTTCTCTGAATTGCAAGTCCCCAGCTCTATTCTAGATGTGGGTTTGAACCTAAAATCACAAAACCAGAAGGTTAACCTCATTCTATAGCATTAAAAGATATTAATAAATAACCAGATTCCACAGAAAAGAATGCATTAGGTTTGAAAATGATTTGATAGTGCACTTCAGAGTCTGTAACAAAGCAAAAGGGTTAACCACAGTGACAATTACTCAGATAGATGACCTACAATATATATTCACAAAATACTGTGGGAGACAAGAACTAAGGCAAAGGGAAGAAGAAAGAGGAAAGCTGAAGAGAAAAAGCTGATGAGCCCAACAAATATATGCCAGTAAATCTGGCTGAATCCATCTTCTATTATCTTCGCAATGTCCTTTCCCGTTGGGATCACAAAGAATATCGTATTGGATCCTCTGCATAACAAGTTTCCTTCTGCTGCAGACTCCAATTCCTGTCCTCTTCTAGAGCCAGAATGAACAGCTGCACACTAAAAATTTGGAAATCCAACTTCAATATTTGATTTCAGACTATAATTAGCCCATTTTGTGTTTACTATACTGCACTATTATTCATTTTTTATTGCTTCCTTAGCTGGTTCTACTTAGTTATTTGAAGTGCTTTCCATATACATCTAAATGGATCAAAAAAATCTCTTGACAAAGTGTCTGTCTATTCATACCCCATAATAGAGCTTTGTATAATATAATGCTCTGCTGCATTGCAGTCCCCCAAATCATACCAGAAAGAAAATTTGAGTTCTCCACTAAACACTATGTAGAAACTGGCAATCATACAAAACACGTTTGTTTTTTTTTAATATTCTCCCCAGCTCTGGATCAGTATCTGTATTTCTATAGGCAACACTTTCTACTTTCATAAAGAAACAAGAAACAGAGATTACATTTGGAAAAAATCCCGTGGGAATTCCCACCTGTTATCAATATAATTTACATCCTTGAAGTAGCCTCTGAACAAACGTAGTTACAGAACCATTTAATCTAGCAACACTGAAAAATAAACAGGGGATATTAAAAGGGAGCTTGAAAAGGATCACTTGCGGTAATTTGCCCAACTCATTGACTTAATGATAGCACACGAAAGATGAAAATATAACCAGCAAACAAAAGGAAAAATAAAAGCTACAGCAAATAACAGTGTATCAAGTTCTTCTGTGCAGCAGGAAGTCTATAATGCTACACTGATATCAGAAACCTTGATGAAAAGAGACATGCAAAGAACAGCAAACAGGTATGGATGGGAAACTGTGACACTACAGTATGGAACAGCATTACAAAATACAATAGCATTTCCATTTCTCTGTAATACTTCCACCAAAAAATACAGCCAAGACTGTAAGAGAAAGGGGACATCCGTAAGCGAACAGCGCGGCAGCCAGCATTAACTAATGGACAGCTGCTACGTGTCTCTTCTCAGTATCTCATAGATTATCACTGCCTCAGATACAAATAACTAAAATGAACCCTGGGATACAAAAAGTGCCTGTCCATGCAGCTACTGCATCAGTTTACAAACTGTCTTCTCCTTTCGTTTTGCCTTTTTTCTTATGACCTGTGTTATACAATGGTCGTAAGCCCATGGTATGCCTTTCCCCAGAAAAGGGGAACATAGGATATTGAATGTAAGTGCTTTAAAAGTACTGAGAAATGTGAGTTCTCATGTGACATATGAACATTTTTAATACATACTTTAAAGCACTTTAGCCATTTCATTTTTTAAAAAGCCTAAATGCTACTTAATTTGAATTTTAAAACAGCAGCGGGAATTCCATTGGGATGAGGGCTGATCCAGCACACCACAGTAAATAAACATGGCATAAAAAAAGCCACGACTTCCTAGAGTTTATATGTTGATGAATGAGATGATGTTACAAACAGGCTGAGAAAACCCTCCTGTGGTAGGATGAACAACAAAGGAAAACTGAAAATGGACTCACACATTATTTGCATACCGGATAAAAGTCCTTGCCATTAGGAACACGAAGGCATGGAGGTTTGTCTTTCTGTGAAAATGTCTTCACTGTCTTGGGGACAAATTTTACTCTCAGATTGAAACAAATCTCACTGATTTAGTATTTAGAGGGTGCATGACATTTTTTTTTAAAGCTGACATGCAAACAGAGTAGAAGACACTTTATTTCAGTTGCAAAGAACTGTATAAAATATCCTTATACTATTGCATATTTTGGACATCCATATGCCATGCAATTTTCATTATCATTTACAAATAATAAATTGCTCTTGTGACTATAGAATAAAATTCTAGTATATAGCTTCTGCATACATTTAACTATCAGAAATTGCAGGGAAAAGAAGAATAACTAGATCTTGAATGTAAAACAAGAATAATCTACCTTACACTGACTGTTAAGTTACATCAAGAATTAATGCAAATAGAAAAAGCATTCTAAACGTGGTAATTTCAATTATAACTAAAGCTATATGGGACAAAGGCAATCTAACAAAATGGCATTTACTACTTGTCTCTAATGCTTTTATTTCAATAGCAAAGCTGCAGTACTGGTATATATGCTAGGGGTACTATACTGTTATCACTGCAGAATAAACATCATGGCAAGTTATCTGCCAGTAGAAATTGAAGCAAGTCTATTTGAAGCACATAAAATAGGGATCACTGTATTTCCCTTCAAGTAAAGCCAAAAAACAAGCAAACAAATGAAAAACTGCAGTCATCACAGGAAGCTGATTGCTTGACTAGAAAACGCACAGCTGAACTCAAATGAAACAGCTATCCTGTATCTTACTGAAGTGTTTATCCTTGTCCCAGAGTATGACAATGTTTCCCACCAACTGATTTAATATTGACATCCAATCATTTATCAAAGCCATTTCCATTCAGTCACTAACTGATTTACTCCTGACAGACCCTCTGTTTCCTATTCATCACAATCATCCTGCTTTGCAATAGACTTAGACCTTTTCCAGCACCCAAGGGCAATCCATTCGCTCTAGTGCAATTACCTGCGTGACATTCTGTCTCTTTACTGTTCAGAAGATGCAGGAAAATAGGAGAAATCTCCCAAGTTAGTAGCCAACTTTTTTTGCTATTTGAAGGCGTAACAAACTCCTGGGCCCTAATCAAGATTAAATGCATTCAAAAGAACAACTAAAAACTCCCAGTTCAGTAACCCCATTATGACGGGGTTTGATCAGAAGCAAGCACAGCTCTCTCTAGATCAGTATTTCCGCAAGTATCTTGGTGCCACTCAGCTCCCAGAGTGCTCATAATAAATCACAGGATAAGGTGGCAAATGTGTCTGAGAGTGACCCATGTCACTTCTCAGCTTTTCTCCATCCCATCTCATTTTCAAATAAAACCAAAAAGACCTGTCTTTTTTTCTGCAGAAGAGACAGCGGAAAAAGTATCCAGTTCTTCACTTCCACTGATGTTGTGTTTTCCTTCCTCTTTTAGTTTCTTATCTTCTGTATCTTTTTGTACAGAATTTAATGGTCTATTTATATCATCATTATGTATTTTTGAGGGGTCCTGAGCATCCTCTGCAGGCGTGTGGGATGGAGATGAAGTGGAAATAAAGCAAGCTATTAGCTTTGCTGCTCATGAAATTACTTTCACAGCTTCCTCATATTCCACCTCCAGAGCAGAACAGAATTTTGGCCTTAGTCCACATTCACACTTCATACATTAGAAAGAAGTGAGTAGAAGGTATTTCTATTTTAGCACTATGTTCTTTTGATCTGGACTATTTAAAAAGATCCAGTAGGCAGAAGATCTCCTCCCTCATTAAAACTGGTTGGTTAAGTGCACACTGGATCAAGCATGAGTTCAAATGCATTCGATACTTATTCTGTACCAGAAAATCTGCACCACTAGTGTGGCCCTCTGGTCAACAGTTGCCGGAGTGAACTGCACACGATGCCTATGTCTACACAAAAGCGAAAGTGATGGGAGTTTGTAAATTACAACTTTTTATTTTCAATGTGCAATAACACCAATAATTTTTTAATTTACTTTTGAAAAAACACACATTGATTTAATTATTATTTCCAGTAATGACATAATAAAACTAACCCCAGCAGAGAAGTTCTTATGAAGATCTAGGTTCAAACTACAGTCATCGGAAACAGATGTTCCAAATGCTGCTTAAGAAATCCACTTCTTTCTTAAGGAGAGAAAACATAAAAGACTTGAGAGGCATTAT